GGGATCTTCTATCTGCTGTTTCACTCCCTAGATGGCCAAAAGAGCTGGGGTTGGGCCAGGCTGAAGCCAGGAGCCTGGAACTCCATCGGGGTCTCCCACTGGGGTACAGGGGCCCAAGCACTTGGGCCATGATCTGCTGTCTACGAGCAGGGAGCTTGTAGATCTGAGTTTCTAGTCTATGTCATTTTTCTTCTGAAGAACTTCTTTCAGCATTTCTACCACAGCACGTCTACTGGCAACGAATTCTTGAGGAAGCCATTTCTTTTTGACTTTTGGAGACTGCTCCCAGCATGCACAACTCTAGGCTGGGATTTTCCTCCTCGCACCAAGGGGCTCGTTCCCCGTTCCTGCTCGCATGGGGTCTGGGGAGAAGCCGAGTGCCATTCTTAACTTTGCTCCTCTTGAGGGGGGGATTTTCTCAGCTCTGTAAAGTTTTTTCTTCATCTTTGATTTTTGGCTGGCTGAATATGATGTTCCAGGTATAGGGTTCTTTTTATCATGATGTAATTGTATCTTGAGTTTTTAAAATTATTTGTTTTAAATTTTATTTGCAAGGCAGAGCAAGCTCTTCCATCTGCTGGTTCATTCTCCAAATGCCTGCAGTGGCCAGGGCTGGGCCAGGCAAAAGCCAGCAGTGAACTCAATCCAGGTCTCCGACTTGGGTGGCCATGCTGAGCCATCACCTGCTGCCTCCCCGGGGGATTCTTAGCAGGAAGCTGGAACTGGGAGCAGAGCCAGGCTTCGACCCAGGCCCTCTGCTACGGGTGTGTGTGTGTGTGTTCCTGGAGCAGCACGGCCACAGGCCCCGTACCTTCCCAGGCTGTCTGCACGTTCCTTGCAGTGCTCTCACCCCAGCAGTGTTCTGGTTCTTCTCAGAATTTCCGTCTCCCCGTTTACATTTTTCCATCTGTGTGACATTTGATATCCTCCCACGTCCTGAACGGTATGACACGTACTTGATTTTCTTGGGTCACCTTGTGAAATTCTTATTTCTAATCACTTGTCTGAGATATTTAGGGGTTTTCTACGTAGGCGACAAACATCATGGACAAGGAGGTTCCTCCTTTGTCTGGTATTTTGCTGTTTTTCTCTCATAGATTTGTAAGACCTCTTAAGAAGTTCAGATTGTCTACCTTGTCACGGCTTTGGAAAGCATTTTATCATTCAGTTCCTAGTTACAGAGCTAAAACCCAACACACACAAAGTACACAGCTCACGGGGTATGCAATTGCACACATCCTTAACAAAACCACATGCGGGGCTGACGCTGTGGTGTAGGGAGTAAAGCCACCACCTGCAGTGCTGGCATCCCATATGGGCACTGCTTCGAGTCCCAGCTGCTCCACACTTCCAGTCCAGCTCTCTGCTATGGCCTGGGAAAGCATGGAAGATGGGCCAAGTCCTTGAGTCCCTGCACCCATGTGGGAGACCCGGAAGAAGTTCCAGGCTCCTGGCTTCAGATTGGCACAGGTCCGGCCACTGAGGCCAACTGGGGAGCGAACCAGTGAATGGAAGACTTCTCTCTGTTTCTCTCTGCCTCTCTGCAACTCTGCCTTTCAAATAAATAAATAAATCTTTTAAAAATAATAGATAAATAAATATTTTTTAAAAAGAAAGAAAGTGGGGGCACTGAAGAATGGCTGGGAGGGCCCACAAGGGGACTTCCGGGGCTGGCATAAGATTTATGTGTCTGGCCAGGGCAGAGTGGTCACAGCCGTGCATGCGCACATGTGTGTGTGTATGTGTGTTAAAGATTTATGCAGGTGCAGGGGCCCAAGGACTTGGGCCATCTGCTGCTGCTTTCGCAGGCCATAGCACAGAGCTGGATTGGAAGTGGAGCAGCTGGGACTTGAACCAGCATCGGTATGGGATGGCAGCACTGCAGGTGGCAGCTTTACCCATGATGCCACAGCACCAGCCCCAAGATTTATTTAGGTGGAAGTCAGAGCAAGAGAAGAGAGAGAAATCTTCCATCTGCTGGTTCACTCCCCAAATGGCCACAATGACTGGAGCTGGGCCAATCTGAAGCCAGAAGCTAGGAGCTTCTTCTGGGTCTCCCACATGGATGCAGGTGCCCAGGCACCTGGGCCATCGGCAGGAAGTTGAATCAAAAGTGGAGTAGCTGGGACTCTTAACTAGCACCCATATGAGATGCTGGTGCTGCGGGTGGCAGCTTTACTGGCTACACCATGGTGTCAGCCCTATGTGCGCCCACTTTTGGCTCATACAGACGCCGACTGTTCTGAGTCACGTCACGTGTTGCCTTGATAGATGTTTCCATCGCTACAGAACTGCCCCCACCCCATTCTGACGGCTGACTCAGCTGACATGGTTTCTGGTGAGAAGTCAGCTGTCATCCTTACCCTTTCTCATCAGCCTGTATCCCCCCAGCTCCTTGTGATGAAGAGGAAATCAGGCTGGGCCCAGAAATGAGGGAGAAAAATACGTCCCTTCAGGAGGGCAGATGTCCGAATCTCTGTCTTCTGTAATTCCTGTTCCAGGTCCCACTAGGCGTTGACATGTCTGGGCAGATGTCCCGTCTCTTGTACCTCATAGACGTTGACATGTCTGGGCAGGTATCTTAATCTTGGTTTTTGTAAACCCTTACAAGTTCCCCATATGTGTGGTCTCAAGTTCCTCACGGGTGGTCCTAAGTTAAGCAGGCTGCAATCAAACCCAGCAACGCTGTAGTGGGTAGGGATTAATGCTGATGAGCCTATAATATTGTGAGAATCCTAGATTGGATGCTCAGTCTGGGGAAGCCGTTCCACTGGCCTGTCGATGTTAAAGTTCTGATCCTCCGCTCAGCCTCGGGTGCCTGTTTGAACTAAGGGAACTTCCCCACTGCAGCTTCCTGTGACAGTGACTTTCTCGTGGCCTTGGTTCTCAGCAGTGTGCTCTGCGGGGCCAGGTTTTGTACCATTTGACTGGTATTCGTTGATTCCTAGATGTGTGGTTATGGTTAACTGGGGCCATTGTTTTCAAATGCTGTGTCCTAGTCTCTCCATGCATGAGTTAGATCATAGTGTCACGGTCTCACAGGGTCAACACTGTTTCCTCACTGCTTCTTTGTCTTTCTGTTTGGGTAATTCTTATGAACTCATCTTTAAAGTTACTGATTTTTAAAAAAACTTTATCTTTTAAAAATGTATTTGAAAGGCAGGGAGACAGAGAGCTCCCATGTGCCGATTCACCCCTCAAATGTGTGCAACAACCCTGGTTGGGGCCAGGCCACAGGTGGGAGCTGGGAACTTGGTCTACGTCTCCAGCCTGGTGATAGGGGTTCGGTTACTTGAGCCATCACTGCAGCCTCGTTGGGTGCGCGTTAGCACGAAGCTGAAGTCAGGAGTGGAGCTGGGACTGGAGAAGGCAAGCACGGGCGCATCCCAGCGGCTGTCTTAATCACTGGGCCGAGTGCCTGCCCCAGGGCAGTGACTTTCCCTTTGTACTGGTGAGCCCATGGGAAGCACCCTTCATTTCCGTTACTCTGTTTTCCATGTCCACCATTTCCGTGTGATTCTGCAGGTTTCCATTCTACTGAACTTGCTCACATGATTTTTTTGTTTTTTAAGATTCATTTTTATTTGAAAGAGAGAGTTATAGAGAGAGATCTTCCATCTGCTGGTTCACTCCCGAAATGGCTGCAACAGGCAGAGCTGAGCTGATCTGAAGCCAGGAACCAGGAGCTTCTTCTGGGTTTCGCATGCATGGGTTTGGTGCAGGGCCCAAGATTTGGGCCATCTTCCACTGCCTTCCCAGGCCACAGCAGAGAGCTGGATCAGAAGAGGAGCAGCTGGGACTCGAACCAGCACCCATATGGAATGCCGGCAACGCAGGCTGGGGCTGTAACCCGCTGCACCACAGCACGGCCCTGGTCATGCGTGTCAGCAACCTTTACCCTGACAGCCTGAGAGTATCAGTTACATTTCCAGAATTATTGGAACATTTGCTGTCCGCGCAGCACCTGTGCCACAGTGGAGTCCAGTCTGCTGCTGGTGTCGTCTCTTGGCCATGACTCTTTCCCCGCCTCGCGATTTTGCTGAGGTGGTCGCTTGCTTCCTTCTTCCTGGCCCGGGCTGGGTGTGAGGTGTCGTCCCTCACGCCCGAGCCCTCGTTTCTCTAGGGACGCTGTGTGCTGTGGCGTGGACTGGCTCCCCTGCAGCTCTTCCTGAGTGGGTGCGTCCTGTGGGAGGCCCTGTGGCCGGCTATCCAAGTGTCCCAGCCCTCGTCCGGGTCGCTCGGTAGCCTGGTGGTTGGAGGACGCTCCTCGCAGCAGTCGGCTCCCTGAACGGACGGAGGGGGCTGTCAGAGGCAGGACAGGGAGGTCCTTAATCCCCCGGGGTCCGCGCTGCGAGGCCAGGCCTTGTGTGTTCTTAGGAACCCCAGGGCCCCTGGCAAGAAGTGACCATCGTAGGGCTGACCGGAGCCGATGTGGGCCATCATCAAAAGTCCCCCAAAGAACGCACCTCGCCGCCGGGAGCCCAGTGGACCAGCGGGGGCCCGCGCACCACCCCGCCTGGCTCTGAGAGAACCCCCGCCCCGGCTCCCCGCTCTCGGCCTTCTTCACCGCCGGGTCCGCGCCCTGCAGGGTCCTCGACAGGGCGGGGGCCCGCGCCGGCCGCCTTGCCAGGGCCTGCAAAGCACTTCGGCCCACACTGCGGCCCTTCGGCTGGACCCTCAGACACACTGCTCCTCCCTGAGGGCCTTGAGGGGAAACCACGGTTTAAGGTGCTATTTGGCAGAACTGCTCAGGACAGCAAACACCACGCTCGTCTCCCTTTCCCACGTAGGTCAAACACCCGCAAGGCCCCGGTCCTGGAACGCTCGGGCAGGCGTCGGGCGCGCGCCCACGGCCGAGCCAGGAGCCATTTCGCGGGCCGCCGCGCCTCGAGGAGAGAGCGACTGCGCATGCGCTCCCTGGGAGGTTGGGACCCGCCCCGGACTCGGCGCGCGCGCGCCGGCGCCAGAAGAGGCGGGGCCTGGAGCGCGCGCCTGCGCAGTGCGGCGGCGCCGGGGGGGCGGGGCGCAGCGGCCGTCAGCTGACTGTGGCGGCGGCGGCGGCGGCCTCGCGGTGACAACCGTCCGCGTCGCAGGCTCCGGCGGGTGTTTCTCGGGTCGGTGAGGCGCGGGGCCCGCGGCAGGATCATGGCGACCACTGTCAGCACGCAGCGTGGGCCGGTGAGTCCTGCGGGCGAGGGTGGCCGTGGGCCGACCTGTGGCGGCGGGCGGGGCTCCGGGCCGGGCTGCTTCCCGCAGCGGCTCCGGGCGGCCTGCGCCCGCTCCTCGGCCCTCCGGAGCGGCGCGATAGCGTCCGCGCCTGGGGCGGACGGGGCGGACGGGCTGGCGGGACAGACGGCGCTGGCCGCCAAAGAGGCCCGAGCCCGGTCCTGCCTTCGGGGCGGCGGGGGGCCGGCCGCTCCCCGCGGTCCCCGGATGGAGGTGGCCCGCACCCCACGGTCCCCGGATGGAGGTGGTCCGCACCCCACGGTCCCCGGGTGGGGAAGGCCCGGTACCCCGACAGTCATCGGAGAGGGGAGGCCTTAGCAACCCGACAGCCCCCTGGTGGGGGAGGCCCCGCACCCCGTGGGCCCCAGGTGGAGGCCCCGCACCCCGTGGGCCCCAGGTGGAGGCCCCGCACCCCGTGGGCCCCGGATGGGGATGCCCCGCACCCTGTGGGCCCTGGATGGAGCAGGCCCGGCACCCCGTGGGCCCCTGATGGGGAGGCCCCGCACCCCTTGGGCCCCGGATGGAGCAGGCCCCGCACCCCGTGGGCCCCGGATGGGGAGGCCCCGCACCCCGTGGGCCCCGGATGGGGAGGCCCCGCACCCCGTGGGCCCCGGATGGGGAGGCCCCGCACCCCGTGGGCCCTGGATGGGGAGACTCGCACCTTAGTCCTTGGATGAGGCGTCCCGGTCACGCCCCCACACAGCGAGGACAGCTGAGAGCAGCATTTGGGCTGGCGTGTCCCCATTTAGTGGCCCTCGTTCAGAGCTTCGGTTCCTTGATTTGCAGTTGGGGGGTGGGGTGGGAGCAGAGAACCCAGAACAGCCCTCTGGGCTCTGGTTCTGCCCGACTGGTTCCCGAGAGGGCGGGTGTGGACTGACCGGGCAGACGGGCTCCGGCAGCCCCAGAGTGGGGGGGCAGGTTGTGCCTAGGGCCTGCCGGGGCTCCTCACCCCAGAACTGGTGTTGACGCATCCTGTCTGCATCTCGGCTGCTGAGAGACTGCTTAGCTACCTCCGGTTTTCTCTTGAGTTCGGGGGAGAGTCCCAGGCTTGGTTGGAACCCCCCTTCGGGTGGGCTTTGGCCTAGGACTTAAGGCACCGGTGTCTCAAATCAGGGTTCCTGGGTTGGGTTCTTTGTTGTTGTTGTTGTATTTATTTATTTGAAAGAGTTAGAGGAGGGACAGAGGTCTTCCATCCATTGGTTCACTCCCCAAATGGCTGCACCGGCCAGGGTTGGGCGGGGCCCAAGCTGGGAGCCAGGAGCTTCTTCCGGTCTCCCACGTGGGTGCAGGGGCCCAAGCACAGGGCCATCCTCCACTGCTTTCCCAGGCCATGGCAGAGAGCTGGATCGGAAGTGGAGCAGCCAGGTCTCGAACTGGCGCCCACAGTGGGATGCGGCCCTGCAGAGCACGTCTTAACCCACTGGATTCTCGTCACCTGCTCCCGCCCCCCGCTCTGGCAGCTGTGGGCATTTGGGGAGTGACCCAGTGGATGGGACAGAGGTCAACACAAGAGGCTTGCTTTGGGCACAGGCGCTCCCGGGGCTGTGAGGAGCAGGTGTGCAAAGGCCTGGGGGCGCCTCTGCCCTGCCCGTGTCCACGTGTCCACCTCCCGCCCCGGCCCCTTCGTTAGTCGGTGAGTGGTGAGTCTCCTTTCCACCTCCAGGGCAGGGGAGCTTGCTGCCTCACCAGCCCCCGTGGGGAAAGTGGGCGTGATGGCCACCCCCCCTTGCCTGGCCTGGGAGGGGCTCCCTGTGGTGAGGGACAGGGCGTGCATTCACAGGGTCCGGTTGAGCTGTCAGCAGGGGGGAGCCGTCTGCAGGGCTGGGACGCTGGCTCTGTGACCAGTGTCAGCTGGTGTGAGACTTGCGGTTGCAGGGTCAAGTGCTGGCACTGGCCTGACCACCCCCCCCCCCCCCCCGTACTTGCCTCGGGGCCCAGAAGAAGCTCCTGGCCCTTTGCTTCTGATTGGCTCAGCTCGGGCCATTGAGGCTATCTGGGGAGTGAACCAGCGGATGGAAGACCTTTCTCTCTGTAACCACCTCTCATATAAACAAATACAATCTTTACAAAGGGAAAATTAGCACTGGGGAAGCCTGAGGCCTGGGTTTGAGTACCAGCTCCACCCCCAGTTCCAGCGCCCTGCTAATGCAAATGAGGGGTCCCTGCCGCCCCATGAGGACCTGGGTTGAGTTTCCAGCCCCTGACTTCGGTTCTTGGCTGTTGTGGGCGACGGGGAAGTGAACCAGGTAGTTTTAAGGAAGAAGGTGCTGGGCAGGTGACAGGCAGGGCCCAGCCTGCTGGGCGCGGGGTTTCCCTAGGGAACTCATCTGACCTTAACCTTAACTGGCAGGAGTGAGGGCTGGCCGTGGGGCGCGTTGAAAGCACAGCCAGGCAGGGTCTGGGCGTGGAGAGCGTGGAGGGCAGCGTGGTGCGCATTAGGACCGCCACAGCCTTGAAGGGAGACGGGACGAGCTGAGGGCGCCCACGGAGGGCGGGCTTCGGGCTTCGGCTGTTGGCTTTATCTGGTCGACACACATGCACACCCAGCGTGCTTTTATTTTGTTTTTTAACCATCTTTGCCTGGCTCACACCCTCTCCAGTACCTACCCTCCCTTTCCCGCCAGCTGCTTCTCCGCCCACGACCCACTGGGTCCTGGCAGACCTGCAGCCGCTCACTTGGCCAGGCTGCGTTGCCGTGGGTTTATCGTGGCCTTTTCTGTTGTTTCTGGTGTGTGGGGGCGGGAGGTGGGCTGGGGAGAGCTCCCTGGGGGGCAGCCTGTGTGGGGGAGCCTGCCTGAGGCAGTGGGGGCGGAGGGGCTGCAGAGGGTGTGATGGGCGGCTTGGCCGGTCCTTTCCTGGGAGCTACAGTGTTTCTTGGGTTTCTCCCTGTCTCCTGTGTGTCCCTAGTGTCCTTTCTGCTGGAGCCTGGGGTGCTCACTTCCCGTGCGCTCACTTCCTGTGCGCTCACTTCCCCTGCGCTCACTTCCCCGGTTCCTTCCCCAGACGCCTGCAGCCACTGAGAGTGGCCTGAGGCCAAAGCTGAGGTCTCCTGTGTGGACGGCAGGGTCCAGGGTGTTGAGCCAGCACTGCCTTAGCAGGAAGCCTGGCCCTGAGCCACACCCACGGACTGCAGTCGGGCCGTGGGCATCCCAGGCCGCGGCTTCAAAGCTAGACCCGAAGCCCGCCGCCACTTCGCTTTTAAAATGCTCCTGGTTTGGAATCACAGCCCTCTGCACCCCCTATTCAGAAGCACCCGAGAGCACCTACAGGGAGTGCATGGGGTGGAGCTGGGGCTGCAGCCCGAGGTGCGAGTGTGGCGGGGGTCCTGGCTCCTTGTCCTGCCCTTGGAGCTGCTGGCTGGCCCAGCGCAGGTCACCTCCTGCTTGACCCGTGTGGCCCGGGCCTGGCCGGGTCCCTCAGGGGATGCAGCGGCTGGGGGAGGCCCCTCATCTGTTGCGCACTTGCCGTGGCTGTTGATGTAATGCACTTCCCCGGAGCCAGAGCGGTGGCTGTAGAGTGAAGCGAGAGCGGGGGCCCATTCTTCCCCTTGGGAGCAGTGGTTCTGCTGGGGTCTGTGCTGGCTCTGTCCTGAGCACGCGGGGTCTCAGCCTGCGCGCCACAGTCTGAGTCAGCGGCCCCTGCGTCTCCTGTGGCCTGGCCGGTCCAGAGTCCTGCGAGGCTGGCTCCCCGTCAGGTGTGCTCCACGTGCTCTGGGGCCAGGGTTTCAGTGTGTAGCGTTTGGCATGGCTGCACCTTCCCGGCTGGATGCTGGCCCGGCCGCTGCACCCTCCGCGGAGAGGCCCAGGCCCTCGGCTTCCCTTCTGCGGCCGTGGTTCCTCCGAGGCCAAAGCTCAGAATCCGGGTCTCTGTCTTCTGAGGGGAGGGGAGCGGGTTAGAAAGTTTATTTATAGTTACAGATTTGCACACGTGCCTATGTTTGCACATAGATTTTATAACTTTTTTTTATTTGCTCTACATGTTCTCATTTCTTTAGGAGACATCGTAAAAACTTGAATTGTTTTTTCTCTACAGGCTTGGAAAATGCACAGTGGGTTCCTGTGGGCTTAGGGCTCCCGCTGGAGGTTTCACGCGCTCGAGTTAGAACGTGCCGCCTCTCGTGGGCGGGAGGACCGAGTGCTCCCGCAGCTGCGGCCCCAGCCCGGGTGCTGTGTCCTGCTCCTATCTAACCCTCCTGCGAACCTGCTGTTATTCTTACAGGCAGCTACTCACAGAAGGTCACTGAGAAACGGGACTGAAAGGGCTGTGGTGCAGGAGAGCCTTTCAGAGCACCGTGGTGGGCGGCTGTGGAGCCCCGTTCCCCGCGGGCCCCGCCTCCTCAGAGCTCGCGCTGGTTGTGTTGGCACAGGGTCGCATGTGAGGCGTGTGTGCCACCAGGCCTGGAGCAGAATTTGAGATGAAAGTGACTTGCAGCTCAGCTCTTGGTTGGTGGAAGGGCACTGCAGGGGGAGCAGTGGCTGGGGCGGGGCGGGGAGGGGTGGCCGTGGGTAACTGGCCCTGCCCCTGTTCCCTGCAGAGCACTGCCGGTCCCTGGGGTGGAGAAGCGGCACCTTTGAGAAATACTCACCTGTGTTTTTGCACGTATGTGCAGAACACTAATGTTTGGGAAGTGTCTGCACTGTAGAAGCGTGGGGCCCAGAGAGCGGCGCGGGACAAAGGCTGTCCCCTCTGTTTTATTGTGGAAGTAGCTCGTGGTGGGGGGCAGGAGGGGCCTGAGTGCTGGCACGTGGGGCTCCCTCACCTGCTTCCCGACTTCATTCTCCAGAGCTTTTGAACACAGTGGGCCCTGTGGCCCTCAGCAGCCCGGCCCCTGGGGTCTTCCCCCTTGTGTTGGGCACGGGAGCCTTGTTCCTTCCTGGTCCCCGTGGTGCGGTTCCCGTCTGGGGAGCAGGTGCCTTTGTGTTGCCATGGGATTTGTTCCTAGGAGCAACAATGGGACCCGAGAGGGTTTGCTAGTGTTGGACTCTGTTCATCCTGTTCACTCAAGCAAGGCTGTTTTAAAACTCCACAAGTATCTGTTATCAGAATTAATCTTTTTTAATATTGCAAAGTCCTTGAGCCAGAATCAAGCCAGAATCACAAGTCCCACGTGCCCGTTTACACACGTTCTCATCGTAATGTGGAAAAGTGAACTTTGGCGTTAGCATTGAGTTTAGAAAGACATCAGAATTGTGTTTGTTGCTGTGCCTCCCACCTGGTCGCTGAGCTGAGGGGCGCGTGTCCTGCCGGCCGTGCCAGGCGTGCCTCCCGGTGCTGGTGGCCACAGCTGTGGAGGCAGAGCCGGCTTTCCCCGGCAGGTCGGGAACGTCGGGCCCGCTGTCTCCTCTCCCTCGCAGCTGAATTGAAGTCTGTGGTAGAAATGTGCCATTTGGGATTGATTTTATGTTCGCGGAGCTCAGGACGCAGTGTGCCCACCCCCACCCCACCCTCTCCCGGCTGCACGGGCCTTTGGCCGCTGGCCTCGGTCCTGGGCATCGGCTCCAGATTCTGCTTGGGTTCCCACTGTGGCCCTCCTGTCCCAAGTCCCTTGCTCATCTCTTCCCTCTGGGTCTGTCTCTGCCTCTCACTGTCCCTTGCTGTCAGGGCCAGGGCAGTTTGGGGGTCGTGAGGGATTTTGTAGGATGCCCCAGTGTGGGGGATGGGGTTTGGGAAGAAGGCTGCAGAGGTGAGAGGTTCTCCCCGCGCCCCCTCACCTCAGGGGGCTGCCTCGCTGTGTCCGCTCCCCATGGCGCTGGCCGTGGTGCTGCCGGCGGCCAGCTGTCTCCTCCCAGAGAGCCCCTCCCCTTCGCACGGGGTTCACTGTTCGCATTGTTAGAATCCCTCACTTGATACTTGTAGTTTATGGTTAAATTCTTCTTGGAAAAAACACTAGGTCTTTGGACCTTTCCGAGTAATTTTATATTCCCAGTCTTCAGTGGGGGCCCGGGGGAGGGTGTGATGACAGGGGAAGCGCCACCCAGAATTCCACCCCGAAGGGGACAGGCAGGACGGGCTGTTGCCTCTCCGGAGCCTGCTCTTCAGGGCTTGCGCTGGCCTGCCTGGCCCCCCGCCGGGCCCCTGCTGCAGTCTCAGGGTCTCAGGTGAGGCCGTGGGAGCTGGGCTTTTGTGCGTTAATGCCGAGAGCCCGGTTGACATTGGGTCGTCTCTGCGAGATACTCTGTTTACGTTGAGTGGAGACAGATGGCGCAGGCTGTCAGGTGTGAAGGCAGGGCCAGGTGCCCCCGGGAAGACGTCTCCATCACGGTCATTCCATGGACCCCTTCTCACGGCTTTGCCCAGGACAGCTGGCCACGTGGCACCCATCTCGGGAGAGCCTGCTGCGGAGTTCCTAGGAGCTTGTGTAGGCTGGAGCTGCCGAGAGCACTCAGACGATGACAGCGGGGTGCAAGCCGGCTGTGCAGCCGTGGTCCGGGAGCCTGTAGCCAGGGCTGGGGAGCCACTTCTTTCTGCCAAACCACACAAGATCAGTTTTTTTTTTTTTTTTTTTTTTTTTTTTTTTTGACAGGCAGAGTGGACAGTGAGAGAGAGAGAGACAGAGAGAAAGGTCTTCCTTTGCTGTTGGTTCACCCTCCAATGGCCGCCGCGCTGCGGCCGGTGCACCGCGCTGGTCCAATGGCAGGAGCCAGGTACTTATCCTGGTCTCCCATGGGGTGCAGGGCCCAAGCACTTGGGCCATCCTCCACTGCAGTCCCTGGCCACAGCAGAGAGCTGGCCTGGAAGAGGGGCAACCGGGACAGAATCCAGCGCCCCGACCGGGACTAGAACCCGGTGTGCCGGCGCCGCAGGCGGAGGATTAGCCTAGTGAGCCGCGGCGCCGGCCAAGATCAGTTTAAAGGCTGGTCTGCTGTAGGTGGGCTGAATCTGGAGTTCAGCCTGCAGTGTCCTTGGCGAGGCCAGAGCCAAAGAAGGCACCGGCCTTGACAGCCTGTGGGTCACACGCTGCCCACCTCTGCTGGAACTGCTCAGTGCTCTGGGAGCCGGCGTCTCCTCCTGTGTCTGTTAGGTCTGCAACTCGGCCTGGGCTGTGCTCTCCAGGCCTGAGCTGGGACACCAGGCGAAGAGACGGACTCTCAGGGGCTCCTGAAGTGACACCCAGTGCCCTGGGGGAGGCGTGCTTTCTGGTAGTGCTTTTTTTTTTTTTTTAAAGATTGATTTATTTATTTGAAAGAGTTACACAGAGAGAGGAGAGGCAGAGAGAGAGAGAGAGAGAGAGAGGTCTTCTATCTGATGGTTCTGCTGCAACGGCTGGAGCTGCACCGATCCGAAGCCAGGAGTCAGGTCTCCCACGCGGGTGCAGGGGCCCAAGGACTTGGGTCATCCTCTACTGCTTTCCCAGTTACATTAGCAGAGAGCTGATCGGAAGAGGAGCAGCTGGGACTCGAACCAGTGCCCATATGGGATGCCGGTGCTTCAGGCCAGGGCGTTAATCCGCTGTGCCACAGTGCTGGGCCCAGCTGGTAGTGTTCTGAGCACACAATATGGAGCCCACCAGACTGAAGAACCTTCTGGAACCCTGCCTGGAGTCTTGGGGAGACCATGGTCCAGGCAGGCTCAGGGTCTGGTCTGTGGGGCAGAGGCAGTGGGGTTCTGCAGAGCCCCTGGGTGTACCGCATGCTCCTGGCCTCCATCTGGCCGTGACACACGCCACTTACTTCCCGGCAGGCCCCTCGGCTCTGGGGCTCGCATTTCAGCAGCAGCCAGTGCCCTGAGCACAGCCCCTCCCTCCATGGTAGTTTCTTGGCCCAGAGGCTGTGACCTGTGTCACGGAGGGGCGGTCTTCCCACTGTTCACCGCGCCCGCCTGCTGAAGCCCATGCAGGCTCCTCAGGCAGTGTGGCCATCTTGAGGACCCCAACGGACCCCTACAGACCCCTGCCCTCAGCCCTCCTGCCGGGGACCCCAGACACTTGGGTCGTTTCTGGCCGCCATTGCTTTGCCGCGAGTCCCTGCAGTGTGGCCCCGGCGGCTCCCGCACCATCTTCTTTGCTTCTCTCCTGTGTGAACCGCTCCTGGGGTCACTTGCAGGCGTCCCTGCTAATCCTCGCTAAAGTCTACTCCTGAGTGTTTGGGGTCCTTCGAGTTTCTCTGGAATTCATTCCCTGGGGTGTCTTTCTCCTGCCCCAGTAGCTCCTTTGTGTCCCGCCCTCTCCCTGCTCATGGTGGGGGTGCTGGGCGGGGCCCACCTAGCCGCAGGACCCCTGAGAAGGAGGTCAGATGTCCACAGGGCTTTGTCTGGGTCTGTTTACTTCTTGTCTTCTCCCGGGACAGTTCTGCATCTGGACTGTCTCAGGTGTAGGCGTGGCCGCGCGAGCGCACGGGGCTCGCAGATGACCTTGGCCAAAGATCAGATCTCCTCTCGCTCCTGTCTGACCGTGCCGCGCGTTCACTGACCTTGGCTTCAGTGTGGACACGCGGAAGGGAAGCGTGTGGGCGGCAGCCTGCCAGGCCTGCCTGGGGGAGCGGAGCCTGTGTTCAGTGGCAGAGGCGGCAGAAGCTCTCCGGGCGGAGGGACGACGGCCCTTTGCTGATGGTCAGGGTGCAGGCGCTGGGTCTCTCTGGCCTCTGTTTTGTAGATGAAAAAGGGCTGAGCACCGTGTGGGGCTTGGAGAGGAAATGGGTGGGGGTGGGGGCGCAGACTGGGCCCTGGGTGGAGCCCAGAGGCTGCAGTTTGCACCGGGCTCCCGGCATCTGACGCCGTCTCCCGCCCTCGCCCCGGCAGGTGTACATCGGGGAGCTCCCGCAGGACTTCCTCCGCATCACGCCCACGCAGCAGCAGCAGCAGATCCAGCTGGACGCCCAGGCCGCGCAGCAGCTGCAGTACGGAGGGGCGGTGGGCACCGTGGGCCGCCTCAGCGTCACCGTGGTGCAGGTGGGCACTGGCGGTGGGGGGGATTCCTGCTGGACAAAGGGCACCTTGCGTCTGGGTGTGCCGACACTCACATATGATGCTGAGTGACGACCGATTCCGGGATTCTGCCAAAAATAACTCGAGAGTTGGGTGATAACGGTTGCTGGACGTCGGCCCTGTGCCAGACCCTGTTCTTCCATGGGGCAGCCGGGGGTGGGGGGCTCAGAGCAGCCCAGTGCTCCCTCGGCCAGCTGAGGCAGCAGTGTCGTCACTGTTGTGTCCAGCAGTATCGCCGTTGCCGCCGAGCTAAGTCCTATTAAAACGAAGGCAGCTTGGCAGTCGGCGCACAGTGGGGCGTTTAAATGCCCTGCTTACAAGGCGTGCAGGCTGCCGGAGCTGCCGGAGTTGCGGAGGCCAAGGGCCACTGTGTGCTGGGGGCACCGTGAAGACTGGTCACCTCAGTCCCTGACCTGCGCAGGCCCACGGGCTGCAGGTGGACTGCAACACTGAACGTGGCTCGCTCACACCAAGCGCCCTGTGAAGCCGAGCAGACGTGCAGGGCCTCGTGGGTACAGGGGGCTTAGGGGGCCATCATCAGGGGACTCCCGCATGCTGGCCTGGAACTTGCTGCTCACTGGAGCCCTGGGCTGCCACCTCCTGGTGGGGTGCTGCAACTGCAGGTGCTCGGGTCCGAGTGCCTGGCCGGGCTCGCAGGGGCCTCCGCGGTGCCCGCTCCCTCGAGCTCACCACAGGCTGCCTGTGTGCTATGGCGGTGCCAGGCCCTGGTTCCTGAAGAGGCCTCCTGGTCGCTTCCCCAGCGTTTCCCTTCCTTTTTGGGAACCCTTCTTCTGTCCAGGCGGCTACACGTCTCCTGGCTGCCTCCCCTGGAGGTCTCCGAGCCCCACGGCTGCCCTGAGAGCAGGTCAAGTCTGTGCCCTTCTCGTGCCCCAGGGCCTGTGAGCGTGTGCAGACCTGGCCCCTGGCGCCACCCCGTGCGGCTGGGACTCCTGCAGAGCACGGCACTCACGCCCTCCCTGGTGTCTGGTCAGCCTTTCAGACGCATGCAGCCAGGTGGCCGTGTGTCGTCTCCTCCTCGCCACCCTGTCTCAGCACAGGCCGCAGCCCGGGCCCCTTCATCTGCCCCCAACCCCATGCCCTGTCTCAGCACAGGCCGCAGCCCGGGCCCCTTCATCTGCCCCCAACCCGTGCCCTGTCTCAGCACAGGCCGCAGCCCGGGCCCCTTCATCTGCCCCCAACCCCATGCCCTGTCTCAGCCCCCCATGCCCACTCTGAGCCCCCCATGCCCACTCTGAGCCCCCGTGCCGTGTCTCAGTGCAGGCCGCAGCTCTGCTGCCTCTGTGCTCAGCTGCTAGAACAAGGCTGGGGCTGGTTGCTCCCCGCATGTTCTTCGCACGCGCCGGCAGGGAGACTCCGCAGGGCTGGGGGAAGTCAGCTGCGGTAGATGTCTGTCACTGGCCCTGGAGGGTGGAGTCATGTGGACCAGAAGCAGGTGTAGGGGAGCAGGTGGACAGGTTAGGGAGGCCAGGGCTGGCAGCGCGGGGCTGAGAGCAGACTCCCAGGTAGGACTGGGCAGGCGTGGCTGTGGGGGCTGGGTGAGGATGGCCTCCGTCCTGACCACGGCAGGCCGGGCTCGCTCACCCTGTGACGTCCTGGAAGGCCCTTCTGTGAGCAGGCCCGAGTGGAAGGGTGCGGGGAGGCCGTGGGGTCCGTGCAGGGCAGAGGCCTCTGCTGGAGTCTGAGGAAGGCGGGCAGCTGGACAGGGCGGTGCCGGCAGCGGGGTCTCTGCCTGCAGGCACCACCGCGTGTCCCTGAGTCCTGACGCGTCACAGGCCCCTCCCTGTGCTGAGGACGGAGGACTCTGCCCGCCCTTCAGAGTCCCTGCGTCAGCAGCTGGCGCCCTGGGCCTGCCGGGCCCTGGTGGGTGCCGTGGGTGGCCTGGTCTTTGTGGAGTTTCAAGGAGGCATCACAGCTGCGCGGGGCTGTCTGAATGTCGGCTGCCTTCCTCGGCCTGGGGCCTGGGGCCTGCCGTGGGAGCCGCCCCCCAGCTTCCAGTGACGGTGCCGCTGTGCTTTACCACGGGGTGCTGAGCCGGCCGGGGCTGGGGCTGGGCTCCGGCTGGATTGGGGGAGCTGTCTGTCTGGTGTGTGGTCTCACTGGAGTGTGGTTTGCACTTCCCTGATGGGGGTGCTCAGCATCTTTGCTTGTTGGTGACCGATATTTCCTCCAGTCTTGGCCTGTTTTCGCTGGGTGCTCTCCCCGTTACTGAGACCTGAGCGTCCTTCGATGTCCTGGCTGCCAGCCCTGCATCACGGGAGACTTTGCAAAGCACTTCTCCCGTCTGTGGTCCCTTCGTGTCCTGCGCGGCCGCTCTGAGCAGCCTCTGAGTTCCGGTGGGAGTGTGGTTTGTCAGGGTCCTCGCCGTGGTCTCTGCTTTTGCTGCCTGTCCTGACCAAGGTCACAGTGTTTTCTCGTGGAGGTTTCTGCCCAGACCTCTGTAGCCGCTTCACCAGCAGTCTTAGCTGCCGGAGCCGCGCGTCTCGCTGGTGCAGTCACCAGCCCAGCGCCGTCGCGCATCTGGGCCCAGCCAGCCTCCTCCTGCCCGACAGCAGGGCCTGCGCTCTGGGAGGTGTGCTCGCGTGCTTCAGCCCCTGCCCCTGCGGCCCACCCCCCGGGGAGGGGAGAGGCTGGGGGCTACTGTCTCTGAAGCGCTCCGGAGCAGGTGTCCTGAGGCCCGGCCTGTGGCCCCTGGAGCCTGTTGCTCTGCACCGTGTCAGCGGTGCCCCCAGCCAGCGGGGGGAGGCCGAGCAGCCCTCCTCGGAGGCTCTGCCTCCTGGCTCTGGTGCCCTGGAGGATGAGGTCCGGCTGTGTCCGGGTGAGTCAGAATGGCTGTAACCCGCACCCCTGGGGCAGGCCGGTGGGAGGGTTCCAGAAGGCACAGTTTGGGTGAGCGTCCGGCTTCTGCCCTGACGCTCGGGGCCTCGTTTTTCTGAACTTGATTTCAGGCAAAGCTGGCGAAGAATTACGGCATGACCCGCATGGACCCGTACTGCCGGCTGCGCCTGGGCTATGCCGTGTATGAGACACCCACGGCCCACAACGGTGCCAAGAACCCACGCTGGAACAAGGTCATCCAGTGCACGGTGCCCCCGGGGGTGGACTCTTTCTACCTGGAGATCTTCGATGAGGTGAGCGGATGCCCGGCTGTGCCGGGGGCAACACTGTGCCGTGCGGGCGCCTCGGCCGCGTGCTGCCGACAGGCGCGCACACCTGCACGCTGTCCCACTGCCTCTGGAAAAGAAGCACCCTTCTCAGCTCCTTGACAGCGTTTGGAAACATTCACCAGTGAGACACACTGGACACTGGGCAGAGTGGACCTGTCCCGTCCCTGGGCTCAGCGAGGTAGCTGGCCGTGTGGGCGAGCTGCACCTCTAGGGAGTCACACGCGTGGCCAGGAGTGCCTCCTGAGTGTCCCTGAGCCGTGTCTGTGCACGCGTGCCTCAGGTGGGATGTGGGGGGCCCTGGTGGAGCCGGGCTCAAGGACAGCAGAGGGGAGGGCGTGTGCAGCTGGCTCTGCCTCTTGCCCCTGCCTGACCCCCTGGCTTTCCCTCCAGTGGCCCCTGGGAAGACAGGGAGCATGTGGGGAGCCTGGCAGGCTGTGGGGACGTCACAGCAGCGTCCCCTCCCGGGACATCGGGGCTCGTGGGTGGCAGCCAGGGGAACAGGGCCAGCTGGAGGGCAGAGGAGGGGCAGCAGGCGTTGCTGGGCTAGGGCAGATGGACTGCAGCCCAGAGGGAGTCTGTCCCCGTCCTCAAGCCTGGCCCTGCCCCCTCTTCCTGTCCTGGGAGGGGAGCCCAGGACCGTTTGCCGGTGGTCCTGAGGCGTGCTGCTGGGGAGGCGGCGGGCTGACAGCCGCGTTTTGGGGACATGAGGCCCGTGGGCCCCCGGGAGCTGACCTCCCTCCTGTCGTCCTCAGCGAGCCTTCTCCATGGACGACCGCATCGCCTGGACGCACATCACCATCCCCGAGTCCCTGAAGCAGGGCAAGGTGGAGGACGAGTGGTACAGCCTGAGCGGGCGGCAGGGCGACGACAAGGAGGGCATGATCAACCTGGTCATGTCCTACACGGTGAGGCTGGGTCACGGGGTCACGTCCTGCACGGGGAGGCCGGGTCACGGGGTCACGTCCTGCACAGGGAGGGAGGGGTCACGGGGTCACGTCCTGCACGGTGAGGCCGGGTCACGGGGTCACGTCCTGCACAGGGAGGCCCGGGTCACGGGGTCACGTCTTACATGGTGAGGCCCGGGTCAGCAGGGTCATGTCCTGCACAGGGAGGGAGGGGTCACAGGGTCACATCCTGCACGGGGAGGGAGGGGTCACGGGGTCACGTCCTGCACGGGGAGGCCCGGGTCACGGGGTCACGTCCTGCACGGGGAGGCCCGGGTCACGGGGTCACGTCCTGCACAGGGAGGCCGGGTCATGGGGTCACGTCCTGCACGGGGAGGCCCGGGTCACGGGGTCACGTCCTGCACGGGGAGGCCCGGGTCACGGGGTCACGTCCTGCACGGGGAGGCCCGGGTCACGGGGTCACGTCTTACATGGTGAGGCCCGGGTCAGCAGGGTCATGTCCTGCACGGGGAGGCCCGGGTCACGGGGTCACATCCTGCACAGGGAGGGAGGGGTCACGGGGTCACGTCCTGCACGGGGAGGCCCGGGTCACGGGGTCACGTCTTACCTGGTGAGGCCAGGGTCAGGCAGGGTTCCTGTCCTGCACCGGAGAGGCCCGGGTCACGGCGGTCACATCCTGCACAGGGAGGAGGGGCTCACGGGGGTCACGTCCTGCACGGGATGGCCCGGGTCACGGGGTCACGTCCTGCACGGGGAGGCCCGGGTCATGGGGTCACGTCTTACATGGTGAGGCCCGGGTCACGGGGTCACGTCCTGCATGGGGAGGGAGGGGTCACAGGGTCACGTCCTGCACGGTGAGGCCGGGTCACGGGGTCACGTCCTGCACGGGGAGGGAGGGGTCATGGGGTCACGTCCTGCACGGGGAGGCCGGGTCACAGGGTCACGTCCTGCACGGGGAGGGAGGGGTCATGGGGTCACGTCCTACACGGGGAGGGAGGGGTCACGGGGTCATGTCTTACATGATGAGGCCTGGGTCACGGGGTCATGTCCTGCACGGGGAGGGAGGGGTCACGGGGTCATGTCCTGCACGGGGAGGGAGGGGTCACGGGGTCACATCCTGCACGGTGAGGCCCGGGTCACGGGGTCACATCTTACATGGTGAGGCCCGGGTCACGGGGTCACGTCCTGCACAGTGAGGCCCGGGTCACGGGGTCACGTCCTACACGGTGAGGCCGGGTCAGCGGGGTCACGTCCTGCACAGTGAGGCCGGGTCAGCGGGGTCATGTCCTGCGTAGGGCTGGAGTCTGCTCGGGGTGTCCTGCTCACACTCTCGGACCCTCTGGGTGGTGCCGAGGCCAGGGGGCAGGATCCCTGCGGTGGCTCCAGGGCAGCCGTTATTCCTGAGGACAAAGACCAGAGGCCAGCAGAGCGCAGCAGCAGGGGAGGACGCAGGCCCTGGGCTGGCTGTGGGCGCTGCCCCTCCCTGCCCCTGCAGCCTGGACAGGCGGCACCCTGTGTCGATCCTGCCCGCAAGCTGTCCCTGCCTGGGGGCTCTCCCAGGGCAGG